CCCCCCCCCCCCCCCATTCCTGTCTTCCTCCCCTGTGTTACATTGCACCCCCCACCATTTAGGAGACAGACTCAGATTTAACTCTCAATTAGCTAGGCTTTTACCTTTTTTCAAATCATACTTAGCTTCCAGAAGGAAGGGAGCGCCCACCAGCACTCCACTGTGAAACTCTCTTCCTAAAGGGGGTTTGGGGGAGGGTCCAGTTGGATTGGGGGAGGGTGGGGAGGGTCCAGATGCTCTGCAATGCTCCCTGTGCAAGGAGGTTGCCTGAGGTTGCCATCCACCTGTTTTTCTTTGTCTTCCTGTGGATGCTTTGGAAAGTCCCCTCAGGGAAATCCCATCTGTCTTGGCACATTTGCTTACCTGAATGTAAACATCTCCCAAAGGTATTAATTTGCTGGCTTGGTTGGCCTAAAAGAATTGTCCCTTCATCCAGTTAGAATTGCTTGGGGTAAGCTGTAGACAGACGTAACCTGACATTCCAGAAACGTGGGAGAAAGACACATTTCCTCGCGCCCTGCCCGGGATCCAGAATCCTGTTGAGGTGAAGAAACCGGACACTTGAGCACAGGTGGGCAGGTGGGCCGGCTGGCGCTGCAGGTGCCGGCTTGTGTGTGCACTGGTGCCCGGCTGCCTCCTGATCCCCGGCCCTGGGGGACAGTCAGGTGGAGTATTATAAATGGGGTGGCTGTTAAGCTCCTCGTCCTCATTTGTGACCTCTGGGATGTGGCACATGGGACAATGGCTTGTCCTTGTTTACCTTTGCATGGTGCTTAAAGGGGACAGGTGCCTTTTGGCCACTGACTTGTTTAAATTGTAAAGTCTGCATAAGCTACAGTCTGCTACCTGAGCCCTGTGGAAGTCCACCTGTCAGGTGGCTGCAAGGGCTCCACGTGGCTGTGTAGCCGTCACGCCCCCAGAGCCTTTCCATGTTCCCAAACCCAAACTCTGTCCCCAGCACCCCCCACTCCCTCCCCACCCCCGCCGAGGCCACTGTTCTATTCTCGGCCCCATAAATCTGCCGACTCCAGGTCCCTCATAGCAGCAGCCTCTTACCACACGTCATTTGTGTCTGGCTTATGTCATGCAGCAATGCCTTTAAGGCTTGTCCACATGACTGTTCTGCTCCCCACTCTGTCTCTGGTGAAGCCTCTCACCGCCCATGCTCCTCTGGCCTGCTCCCCAGTTCTGTATGCATAAATAAATAAATCTTAAAAAGAAAAAAAGAAAAAGAGCCCAGCTTTCTCCCCACACCAAGTTTCAAGCCCTCATCATGCTGTTCATTTTGGAAAGTGGCCCCAGAAGGTGACCATAGCCCTTGGGATGTGCTGCTGCCCTCTACAGGGACCAATGGTTCACTTCTTTTGTTGCTGGCCAGGACGCAGGAGTGGAAGGACTGTCCAGCTTCTGACCTCAAGGGGTCCTTCCTTGGCGTGGAGCAGAGGCGATGGCTGGGCCCCGAGGATGGTAGCTCGGGCCCAGGGAGTGTGGCTACCGGCTTCACGTGCAGCCCTCGTCATAAAGGGGACAGAGCTGCCAGCCTGTCCTCAGCCGCAGGCCTGCGTATGACCAGGCGCTTGCCGTGGGGTGGGCAGGACGTCAGCCAGGCTGTGTCCATGGCACTGAGGTGCCTTCCTAGGGCCATTAGCCCGTCTCCCCAGTTTCCCTGGCAGTGTGTCCAGTTTGAGGGGCTGTGGTGGCCCGAAGAGGATGGTGATGATGGGCGAGCCCTCTCCCAGTGCCACGTGCCGGTCACCGGGGTCACGGTGCAGACTTGCTCTGTAGCCGTGTTTGCTCGGGCCGATTCTTATTCTGGCTGACATCCTGTGCCATCACTTTCTTAGGGGTTACTCACAGGGCCCCCCTTTGCGTCAGTTTCTAAGGCGAGCCTGCACCCCGCAGACACCCTCCTTTCTTCCCTATCCCTTTTACTGTAGATCAGCTGTACTGGAATTTCTGTACAGTCGACCCTCGTCTTCGTCGATTCTGCACTTGCAAACTTGCCTACTTGCTAATGCTTGTTTGCAACCTCGAGGTCAGGACCCCAGGCCCTTTCCTAGTCATTTGTGGGCATCATGCCCATAGCTGCTAACTTCTGGAGTTGTGCGACTGACATGCGTATCCCAGCGGGGGGCAGGAGCCATCGCCTTCAGCTCGTGCTGGAAACAAGCGTTTCCTGTGTGCTGCATTTCGGTGCTTTTCGTTGGTGACTTCACTGTTTAAAGCAGCCTCAGGCAGAGTGCTCATGTGTTGTCTGGAGTTTCTGGGCAGGAGGCCTGCCGTGTGCCAGGTGAGTGCCACTCACCTGGTTCAGGTGTGTGGAGCGCTGGTGACCGTCTGTGAGTCTGCTGTTATGGAACCAGCAGTAGCCACCAAGTAAGGTGTTTTTACACAGAAACACGGGTGAAACAAGGTTCCCCGTGTACTGGCCAGTTGACGAAAATGTTGTTACTACGGACTCCATGCAGCGAGCCTGCGCCCCTGAGGGGCAATTAGGATTCACTCGTGCACATTGCCGGTGACTTTGTAGAAGTAACTGGTGCAGATAATGAGCATCAAATGGATATTTCTGCAGGGCATCTCAACGGGTGTTTCTGTAGACCAGTATCCTGTCCAGAGAAGTAGTTTTTCTTACCCCAGAGTGCATTTTTTTATTATTATATTTTTATTTATTTATTTTTTACATCATTCTTCCATTTTGTGCCTTTTCCCATCTCAGTTGTAATCCCCATGGGCTTCCCACCACCAGTTCACCTGTGTGCCATCACCACAGTCCAGTGTTCTCTTCCCACCCCAGTTCGGATCCCATTCTCCCTTCCACTCCTATAAAATATAAAATGTT